GGCGTGTGATGGTTGTATGCCTTTGTGTTAGTAACTCTCAGGGAAGAAAGGAAAGATTTCGGGGGAAATTAAGTACCACACTGAAAACTCAAAGCAGTTCTATTTCTATGGCCCAAACTTGCACAATGAACACAAGAGCCAATGATAAGAAGAAAGGACATTGTTGCAACCCATTTGGCTAGAATTTGAACTCTGCATGGAGACGTACAATTAATGGTAGAATGAGGCGAGGAGCTCTGAGGCTTTCCTGTCTAGGAGGCTTTGAAAAATTACAGATGGAGAGCAACACAATTCAAGACACATCAGTAAGAGATGTCTGCTGGCACCGAGGAGGGCAGGTGGAACCATCTTGGTAAAAGAGGCTTATGAATATATTTCTGAAATATGACTGTGATATTAGAACACTATCCCATATAAAGTAGATAAGACTTGGAAGGTGTTGAAAATGATTTTTGCATAATACATCGCATTTATCTTTTTTTCCCTTTAACTAAAGAACATTTCATCACTATGCTCACATTCATTGTACATTGTTGGATGGGTTGATCCCAGCGTACAGAGGTGACAGTATCCAGGTGTCCCAGAGCTTCTGGGTTGCTGCATTAGCTAAGAAGAGTATGGAATTTCTCTAAACCTCAACTTAGTAGGAGGTGAAGTTAGGAAAACCAAATGATTTATTTTATTCCATGTTGGTTTTTGAGCCTGGTGAGTCTGTCTACCACTGTCCTCAACTCTACTCTCACCAGTTGGTCTAAAGCTGTCATCATCTCCCCACTGGCCACTGCAGCGATGCTTGTTGTGTGGTTATTGATTGTTGAGCTTTAGAATCACCCACCAGTGGGCAGGTGGGAGAGGTAGATTCCTGGGCCTCCCACCAGACCTAATGAATTAGCTGGAAGTTGATCCATGGAATCTGCTTTTTCCTCTCTTCAGGTGATTCTTTTGGGCCCAATTATTTGCAAAACACAGTAGCAGAGCATTCTCTTGATTCATTATAAAAATCTACATGAAAAAGGATTATCTTCCTCTCTACTTGTTATTAGACTCAAATGCAATATTAATTTCAGGAGAATACCAGGGCTTACTGCGTCCCAGATGGCAGCCTCTAGGTAACAGAAACATTTAGAGCACCACTTGGAAACTAATATTCTCATAAATGCCAGCCAGTGGTAAGACAGCACTAACGAATCTTTATACATTTTATGTACATCTTTTACTTCATCATCCAGAAAAATCAATCAGACTAACACCAGAATTTTAAACCTCAATATTAACTTAAAGCATCTCAGGAAACCGTTTCATTTTACAGATGGGAAGACTGAGACCCAGAGAGTCTGCGACATAACACAAGTATCCGCTGTCAGATCCAAGATCCAGTAGTTCTGATAAAAGCCCAGGGCTTTCCCCGTTGTATTATCAGTTTCTTTTCCTTCCCTTCCTCCCTACCCCTCTTTCTTATATCAGAATGACTTCAGCTATTCTTTATCTCTGGTCAAATAAGGAATGACAGGGGTTTTTTTCATTTCATGTTTTTCTTCAGTGTTCAGAATTTACTTCAGCGGATTGATTCTCTTAGTCTTTCTAAGTCATAGGTTGTTTGGAAGAGAAAAAAAAACTTGACTGTTCCTTACAGCACCATAAATAGTTTATAGTTGATCAAAATACATTTTTATCCTAGATACCACTACAGACTCATTTTCTAACAAAGTATTTCCTTGTCAGTTTCTGTTCTGCAACATTGCAGTTTACCTTCAAGGAAACTGTTTATATCTGACACTAAATCTCTTGGGGTACATCTTCAAGGAACATATTACAATCATTATGACCACAAATGAAATCACTGCTGTCATATTAAAGAAAAGATTCCATAGGTGACAAGTAGCTTCGGCATAAGAAAGGTGATATTTACATCTCAGTCAGATAACTGTTTTGTCCCACTGAGGCGGAATTACCTGACAAATTAAATATCTTTATTTGGATGGCAAGGGATGATGAGAGTTACTTCCTGAAACGCAGAGGAATATATCTACCTGTGTCAAATCACTAGTGTGATTTTCATTTAACAGAATTCACTTTGCTCTGAGTATTTCATTGCCTACATTCTCAATAAAATTACTCCCGTATTAGACATTGGTTTACACTCCACAAACATTAAGTTGATCATTTTAAAGTGGGTATAAGCTTAAAACAGATTCCTTCATTTCCCAGACTTAAATCTTTATTAACTTTTTTCTTTAAACCTGAGCTTGGAGTTCTCCTTTAAAAAAATTTACTCAACCTAGTTCAAAACTTCTTAGTTGGGTTAGCCACCCTGGCTTTTAAATTTAAAGCCCAAATGTTACATGTAATACACTTTAAGAATATTTAACACATAGTATTTAATATCAAACATTTCTTGAATACATAGAATTTCCTATGATTTGTATTGTTTTATTTGAGAATCTACAAAGAAAACAGATTATTTCAAATTATACTTTTTAATATCTAAAATGAAGTTACTTCCAAAGGTACCAAATCCCTAACGGTTTTCATTACATCATCACATGCTTATAAGTTGTTACTAGAATAGGTGCCAGACCATTTATGGAAATGTCTGGCACATGGAAGCAATACTGTATAGTGAAACAGTTAAAAAGTCAGACTAATAGTGCTCAAATTTTGTCTGCTTTACTTGGATGACTTCGCACAGCTTCTCAAACTTTCTGTACATCAGTATCATCATTTTAACAGTATTTGTTTAATAGGTTGCTGTAAGGATGAAATGATCTAACCTATAAAGTGCTGAAATCAGTGCTAGGCAGAGTGCACTATATACATATAGTGGTTATTATTTTATAAGTAGAACTACTATTGCATAGTATAATAATTGTTGTGTTGTGCTGTTATATTATTATTTTAGTAGACTCTCAGTAACTAATTATGGAATAAGTGAGTGAATGAGGGAAAACATTCTTTTTGCCAAAATATTTGAACTTCAATTTTTATTACATTGAAATACACAGGGCACTTTAACTAAGCAGAATTAGTAAAAACTGGAAATTTCATTTGATTTTTATCTAAGTTCTTTTCGTACAAGATGGTTGAGGATCCTAAGGGCCTGGTCTGGGCAGAGGGGATCTCTTAGGGTAGGGGTTGGGTGAATAGAGTGCCTCTTTCCAGATCCTGGTCTCGGAGCAGAGAGTCAAAGATGGGAAAGGGAGAAAACCAAGATCTGCAAAGCAGAGAATCAAGCCACCAAAGGATGGTCCAGAAGCCAAGTAACAGGAGAATCAGAGAGTAGAGAGCAGAGGAGATGCCTGAAGTTGTCATTAGGACAATTCCTGGGCAGGGAGGCCCTTTTTAAGATGCCAAAGACTGGGCCAGTCAGTTGGTGCCTTCCTCACTTCTATTCCTGCTGCACTGCTTACATTGCAACAAATATAACCAGGACTCCCTTGTATTTTAGGCTAATGCACATACTCCTACCTTGAAAAAAATAGCACACTTGCACAACCTCATCACAAAAAAAATAAAGTATCTCTCTCAGTAGCAAAAGTAAAAGAAGCATTTAAATTTCTCCTGACATCAACACATATACCAGAGCATAACAATGTGATCTCAGGAGGGGGTCAATGGTGGGGGGGGGGGACATCTGCATTACTTTCAACAATAAATATGAATTTTAAAAAAATCATCAACAGAAACCAAGGACTAGAGGCTATGGCAGATACTGAATCTAATACTTTTTAGGCATCTCAAAGATTACTTGGGGGAAGAGAAACAAAAGTAACAGAATAAATGTCAAACCAATAAAGTTGATTTGAATCTGAAATAAGCATCTTTAGAAAATGATCTTCCTCTAAATCGAATTTTTCCTCAAGGGGGATAGAGAATTCTAGCTTGAGCATGCTTGCAGATGTTGAATATTCATCTTATGTAACAGAATGCAATTTGCATAATGTGGGGCCAGGTCTGCATGCAGGAACACCTTCAGGGAACTCAGAAGAAGGTTCCAAATTAACAAGAGCATTCCCCACCTCACCACAAAAGGAATCCACAACTCACATTTTATTTTCTTTGACAGATTTTCCAGATTTGTTAAAGAAAATTTATCAAATTTCTTGGGAGGCCCCAGAGAATGTTTCTGCTTAAGTTCTGTGTGCATGTGTGTGCCTGTGCGTAATGTGTGTGTGTGTGTATTTACATGTAGTTTTTTTGATGATGTAATTTAACAACAACAGAACTACTATTTAACAACAACAAAAGCAAATAAAAACATTTTTTCCTTGAGGCACTATGACTTTGATCTATTGATTTTTTGCTCAAAGGATAGTAGAAAGAAGTACTTTCATCTAGGTCTCTAATACTGGAACCTGTGTCGGAAATTAACTCTAACAGCATTATAATGTATGTATACAGCACATCTGAATGCAAATTATTTGTAAAGAGTAAATATTCCAGAAAAAGTTATATGGCTGGAAAAGTGCTTAACTTTATAAACACAAAACAAGGAGGCTTGCTTACAGTTAAAAGCAATATACATTTTGATATTAGAAGTATGTTCCCAGTACAATGCTTACACATTTTGAATTCTTATTTTTAAAAGAACTAGTCCCTTTAAATGTTTCTCTTCTCTTTTCAGAATTCACATTAATTCTTTCTCTTTTTATAAAATAATCTTTTACAAGAGGTTCTCAAAGACAAGTACATTTCTAAATAGAAATAAAAAGATTACATTAACATCAACTCTTTCAAAATTGCTCAATTTTCTATAAACTGGGTCACTTTTTAAAATATGCAAATACACAATTTTAAAAAGTAATAATGTCATTCTGCTGCTTGATATGCTGATATTAACAAACACTGATGAATAATGAATAAACAGCTCCCACAACACTGCAGCAAAGATAAAAAACGGCAGAGGCAATAGACAGGACTTTCTCATTTTGTTATTGCTGCTATTGCTATTGCTATTTTGCAAACATTGAAAGAAGGACCAAAGACTACGGCATGTTACTTACTGATGGGTAGAGATAACCTTCTCCATTCATGGCTATGTACAACCCTGTCTTCACTCCCTGGATGGCAACAACGCGCAGTCCCACTGGTATGAGGTTGAACAGTGCTGAAAAGACAAACATGGTCTGTCACAAATGGGCAGAAAGTAGCAAAGCACTCCATCACCGACCTCTCATTTATTTTATTTAAGAAACATCATCTTTGTTACAACCTCCTGAGAAGTTCCAATTAACTAACTTTTATTTCTCTTTTTAATTAAGAAGTGTCTGCTATGAATAGTATTAGCACTTGAACTTTAGTTTGTAGATCTTAGCAGTCGGCCTATAGCATTTTGAAGAGCTGGTGGGAAAATGAGCAGAATCAAGCCTGTAATTATGCTTCTAGTATCACAGTCTCTGACACCACTTGATACTAAAGTAATCAGCTGTAAAGATTCTCAAAGAGGAGAATTTAAAAAGTCCAAGTTGACTGTTTATCCTGGCTGTTCCTGCAGAAGGTGTGCTTAATCATTGCAATGTAGCACAGCCCTGAGTTAAAAAGGTAATTCCAAAACGCAATTACTGTTGCTGAACCAACATGATAACCCAGCAGAGCCCAGGAAAGATGTGCATCTGATAATGTGCTAAATCTAGAAAGAACTAATCAAACTGAATGCAATGCAAATTTTAGAAAGACAATGCTCTTTATTAATAGTTCATAGTTCATAAAATCATTAGTGAAAACTAAAATAAAAGAGGAAAAAGTTCTCAATCATTTGTTACCATGTTTTGTTTCTTCCCTTATCAACAAAGAAGTGTTTTTATATGTTTTTTTTTTACAGAGTGTAGATAGTAATGTTATATTGTTTTTTTAAAAAGTTTTAACATCTCTTTAACACACTTACACACTTCCATGCCAGTGTCACATGTTAGTGGGTTTTCTGGCATCATGTTTAGTAACCATTTGATGATTTGGGAGACTTTATTATAGATACATTTATAAGAGAACTATTAATTATCCACAGTGAGTTTGTCTGCTCTCATCCAAGTTCTTTTTAATTTACATGTAATCCTAAGCAATAGAACCAGGCCAGAATAGTCAATAAAAAATTAAAATGTTGAAGTAAATGTATAAAATATTTTCACTTTTTGTTTATCAGCTGTATTACATAAAAGGTAAATAATTTGAAAAATGTGGGGAATTTTGACTTCAATCCATGGGTCTACTCAGTATGTAGATATATATCGTGCTCTATTTAATTTGGAGGCATATTTTTTAATAGGATAGACAAAGTTACCCCTTCTCTTCCAGGTATTACATCCCAATCCCAGTATCCAAAGATGTCTGTGCTACACAACTGATAAAAGGCAGGGGATGGCTGTAGGTAATTTTCCCTAGAAGAATACTCAGGGGCATATACGATTAGGTAGATCATTAGCTTTCATGATACAAACTAACATTGGGCTGTTCAAACTGAGGAATGAGATTTATATTTGCTTATTTCTATTATTTAATATTAAACATGAATGTGGAGTTGGTGAACACTATGTAGCTCTTAGTATTCTTTGTTTGTAGAAGACCATTGGCCATTTTCACTCTTGTCTAGAACATCTGAACTGTTCCATCTTCCTCATAATTTGAAAGGATGGGCACCAGGATAATTCCTGGTTTATGTGCAAAACTTTTTTTGGGGAAAACATACTTGTATGCCTGACCATACAAACTAGTCTAACCTAATATATTTAAATACTCTAAGCTTCATATCCCTAATGGTATTTGTAGGTTCCATATATTTGGTATAGACCAGCTGGTATAATTCACGAACTCACCAAAATAAAGGGGTGTGGGGAAAATAAAAATGATGAAGGATAGTCTAAAATGACCATACTAAAATTAACACACTGGGTTTTCCTCGCAGGATTTTGTTTTGGACCTGAATTATAAATACAAGTTATCATTTATGAAATGATAATAAGAAGTGAATCCAATAATCACTGTCATGTGGAAGACCATACAGAACTGACCATGTTGGATACATGGTGCTAATTAAAGCCACGGGTCTCCACATTAATTGAGACATCATTGTATTTTTTAATTATTTTAGTATTATACATAATTATAAAGCAATGCCACAAAGTTTAGGGGAGTAAAAATAATGAAGAAGTTCATGCTATTTTGTTTACTCTGTGGAATACTCTATGTCTCCGCAGAGTAGTGATTTTCAATGCTGGCTGTACTTTCCTAGTAAACTAGGACAGCCATGTCCAATCCCAGATAAAATCAGAATCTCAGGAAGTGGGTATAGGGCATAATACATTTATTTTGAAAGCTCCCCAAAGGACCCTAAGCTATAGCCAAGAGGAGAAGCGCCATCCTAAGGCTTGTGGGGTGGTGGTAACTGTGAGCTATCAACAATTTTTACATATCAAGGTATTACATTGAGAATTTCTAAGGTGAGAGGGGTTGGTTTGTGTGAGGTTTTAACATTGCTGTAGTTACTAGCATATTGATATTTCTGTAGTCCTACTCTGCTTGCAGTATCTAGTAGGTCTGGTAACTGGAGCAATGGAGTTTGGCAGCATAAAAAAAACCTGCATGGCATCCCCAAAAGCAAAATGAAGGAAAGAAAACCACTCCCTAATCCAGTGATGGCGAACCTTTTGAGCTCGGCGTGTCAGCATTTCGAAAAACCCTAACTTAACTCTGGTGCCGTGTCACATATAGAAATTTTTTGATATTTGCAACCATAGTAAAACAAAGACTTATATTTTTGATATTTATTTTATATATTTAAATGCCATTTAACAAAGAAAAATCAACCAAAAAAATGAGTTCACATGTCACCTCTGACACGCGTGTCATAGGTTCGCCATCACTGCCCTAATCAAATACCATAGTTCATGGTACTACTACCTACCATAGTTCATAGTTCATAGTTCATGGTAGGTAGAAGGGAAGCGCTAAGATTTTTAAGGAAGTGCCCCCTGAAAATTAGTGTGGTCATGAAGCAACCCAAGTGTTCACTTCATCTTGTGATAGATCCTTCGAGGGCATAAAGAAGTCAGTGATAAACAGTCAAGTTGCTGCAGCATCCTCTCTATTATCAACTTTTTTTTTGCGCCACTTTTTCCTCCCAGAGGTTCCTGCATCTCAGGCTGGAAACCCTGGGACAACATTAGTATCAGCTTCACCTACCTGCTGGCCTTTTTCCTCTTCTTAATTTATCTAAAAACTATGACAAATGCAGCTTAGCAGGGTGGTTCTGACTTTGTCTAGTTGTAAATAATTTCACATTTAAAAGTGGGATATGTGTTGAACTCAAATCACAAAGATTTGAAGGTTTAAGCCTCAGGCTTGTCCTGTTAGTAAATTTGGGTGGCATCAGGGCCACTCTTTGGTTATTTCTCCTTATTTTCCTACTTATGGATGACTAATCCTTGTTTTGTGTTCAGAGAATTATCATAAAACTGAAACATGGTGAAAAATTATATCACACCCTTCCTCCAACCAAAAGGACAATGCTTTCATCAGGAACTGTCTCTAATACTCACTCTCAGTTAAAAAATACCTTTCTGGACTAACAATTTTCTTAAGATTCATAAGACTACTGCAATGAACCCGAGAAAAGAAAATATCTTAAAATTCATCATTAACAAAACTGTATACTTTAGTTCAAAAGGTGACAGTACACAAAAGTAGAGTTAATTAGCAATTCCTATTGCTTTTGTAAAGCTGCTATAATTCTGCCAAGTTTTATTAAATTTTATAGTTATACAATTTTTATAGCCTTTTGAGGAGAGGACCTTTGTCTCACCCTGCTTTATACTGTTCTGCTACGGCTCTGCAAGTGTTGAAATGGTAACAAAACTAGCCAAATTGGCTTACAGTGCATAAAAATGCAATGTAACTTGTAAGAAAAGAAGCTGCAGACTAGATCTTAGAATAAGAATTTCAATCCCTTGCCCTAACCGGTTTGGCTCAGTGGATAGAGCGTCGGCCTGCGGACTCAAGGGTACCAGGTTCGATTCCGGTCAAGGGCATGTACTTTGGTTGCGGGCACATCCCCAGTAGGGGGTGTGCAGGAGGCAGCTGGTCGATGTTTCTCTCTCATCGATGTTTCTAACTCTCTTTCCCTCTCCCTTCCTCTCTGTAAAAAAATCCAATCCAATATATATATATATATATATATATATATATATATATATATATATAGAGAGAGAATTTCACTCCCTTGAGTGTGGGCAATGTGATTTAGTTCTGGTTTGCTTTTACACAGGGGCTTCTGTCACTGCTTCATGCCCAAAACTGTTCATCTGCAGCATTTAAGGGGATAAGAGGTGATCTCAAGAGTTACCAAGAGATTCTGTTCCTTCTAATGCAGTTACACAATAGGAGGAAAGAAGCCCCATACATTTAGAGAACAGAAAGTCACGTATCTTTTAGTATGTGGGCTTTCCAGTTTAGTGTGTGATATTATTCAGATAACCAGACATAATTATGCGTGGATGTATACAATGTCTACATCAGCACTTTACAATTTAGAAAATATTGTGCTACTTCTTCAATTCTGAAGGATTATGCTTTTAAACGAAGTCTACTTGACCATTCTGAATCTGATATTGATTCTCATCACTAAAAGGAACAAATTCATTTGGCATTATAAAAACCAAAGAAGAAGGTAGGAAAAAATCATAAAACATTCATTTGAAGGAAATTATTTTTCTAAGAATTCCAATTATGCAGCATCTTCTACAGCTATATTTTATTTCCTTAAAAAAAACTTTTGTTGTAATAGATGACAACAGCCTCTATTCTGATAAATCAGAGAGTCAGCTCTTGTAGTGATCAGAGTTAGGAAAACTAGTTCCTTTGCTCTACTAGACTCTGGTCAAAGGAAATCAGAGAACATTGAAGTCATCAGAACTTATTAATATCAAAAGTTCACGACCCCCATAACTGTGAGATGTAAGAAAGGGGGAACACCTTTTTTGAAATAATTGGCAAGGAGTTAAAGATTTTAAAAAAAAGAGCAGATGTATGTGTGAACTTGAACCAGGAGAAATTGACATCTTTTACAGGACAAAGATGGTCAAGTACCGATAATTTTAAAACATTCAACCTAATTATAAAAATGCCAAGTAAACAACGACACTGGTCTTTTAATAAAAATGCCTCCTCTTTCTTCTGTCTGAATTAATATACCTTCTCTTTTCTTAAATCAAAAAAGGAAATAAAAAATAAACCAATGAGCAAATATAATAGGGAAAAGTTAAAAAATATAAAAAGATGATATAATAGATACATAAAGGGAAAACTATTAGAAATTGAAAAAGAGTAAAGTGTAGATAAATCAAAAAGAATTTTAAAGTTAACAGAAAAATGAAGCAATATCCAAGTTTAAAAAATAAACACAGTGGCTTTAAAAATACTGATATTTCACATAGTAATATCAATTGCAAAAATATTCTATTTCATATTATCAGATGCTATCAGAATCAGTATTAGTGAAACTTTGATTACTAGAATTTAAAATAAAAAATGCCTATAATTGGCTTACATGCATTCAAATCCTTCCTTCTTGGCATTGGAATGAAGTTCGATAAAGAATAAATGAGCCTTGGCCAGAAATCTCAGTGGTTACAGCGTTGGCCCCTGCACTGAAGGGTCCAGGTCAAGAGCATGTACCTGGATTGCAGGTACAATCCCTGGCCCAGGTCTGAGTGCATGTGGGAGGCAACTAATCAATGTCTGTCTCACATTGATGTTTCTCCCCCCCCCCACCCCCCACTATCTCTAAAAAAAAAATCAATGGGAAAAATATCCTTGGGTGAGCACTAATAGTAACTAAGGATAAATGATAAATGGATGAAAAGATTCAGATCCATTCCTGACCCACTGGTAATATATGGTTAAATATTTTTAATAAAATAAAATAAGGTTTTGCTTTTCACTAATTTTCCTGAGCAGTACAAAGTGTGTCTATTTTAGAACTGATGTGCTAAATTAAAAGGAATGAGATGCCCAGGTAAATAGAAAATGGGAAAGAAAAACACACAAAAAATGAATAAGGAGAGATACTAGAATACAAATACAAAGAAAAATTATATATAAAAAATAGTAAAATGAAGACAGACATTAATATGATAGGAAGTGTGTGGCTTTTTACTAAAAAATCTTATCACAGACCCAATTCTATATAGTGGTCAAACATCGTATACAATGTATTTAGAGGCACACAGCCTTCAAGTCCTCTCTATAAAGAGATCCTTTCTTGTTGAATGCAAATGTTTAAAAATTAAATTTTTATTATTTAAACCAATTTGTATCCCTTGAGTTTCCAGAATTTTCATTAATAAGCTACAGTCCTGATATAAATAACAATTCCAAAGTAAACATGTAACCAACTTCTACTTGAAAGCTCTAGGGTACTTATTTGACTTTTATGACAATGAGGTTAAAAGTAATAATAATATTTGAGTTATGACAATTGTTTGAAAAATACTTAAAATATTAACAGGGTTATCTTAAAGTAGCAGGTTTCTTTCATTGCTCTATTAATATTTCCATCCATGTGGTCCAAGTAAAATTGTAAATGTTATTCTAGTTGTAACATTGTAAAAATGAGCCAACATAACCAAATAATTGCAAATGTATTATTTAAAAGTCAGCAGCGTGTCTTCTACCAACTGTGCTAACATAACTGGTGGTCTGAAGTTGTCACTTACTAGAATTAGTGCTGTCATCCTTGGTTCCATCGAGAGCTCCATCGGGGTGCATTTGCAAGTAGTAGCCTTGCCTGCAATATAACCTGGTCACTATACCCTTGAGCTGGGGATCTGAAAGGCAAACACAGTTATCATAAGCCTCACAATGTATCACAATAGAATTTCTTTTTGTTTGTTTTTTTTCTTTATTTTTAAGAAACAAGAGGGCATTTTAGAGAAGTAGCATCTTATATTTTGTGAGTCCCAGATTTCTCTGTATTTGTGAAACCTGGAGTATACTAAGCATAGAAGGTAAAGAGAACATTGTTGTAAGCTGCATTTGTCAGCGGCAGAAAGTGGGTCATTTTATAAAACTAATATGCGTGCATTTAAATGATTAGTTAAAATGATTAAACTACTTAATCTATTAGTTTAGCTGTTAGATGAGTCCTAAAATAATTAATTTAATAGTTTAAGCTAATATCATTCAGGATGTCAATACAAGAGTTTTATAAAGTTCTGACTCAAACAAACCATGTTAAAGCCCTATGAGTGGATTTTAAAACTTAATTTAACAAGTAATCCCCAAGTGTGAAAAACCTGTATTTTAAAAAAGAAATCATACTGGCCCTGGCCAGGTAGTTCAGTTGGTTAGAGCATCTTAACCATATGTCAAGGTTTCCTATTCAATCCCTGGTCAAGACACACAAGAGTCAACCAGAGGATACAAAAATTCGAAGAACAACAAGTCAGCCTCTCTCTCTCTCTCTCTCTCTCTCTCTCTCTCTCTCTCTCTCTCTCCCTCTTTCTCTCCCTTCCTGTCTTTCTCTCAAATCAACAAATAATTAAAAAATTAAAACAACAACAAAAATATACAAACATTTTAATGCACATTATTAGAAAAAGCCCCAAAATGGGGAATGTTGCTTGGTGTCTAAAGGGTCACTCTAACTTGCATGGAGGGATCTTTGGTTCTTATGCATGATCCAGAGGAAAATGACAAAACGGGCTTCTGAACTCAGGGTGAGACCAAACAACAAGCCTATGCCGTGAGGTCGGCTCTGGCCACAATCTAGATAAATCAGACAAATTTAATAGATAACTCTACGCATTTATAGAACTAAGAAGGAGAGTAAAATTATCAATATGGATTATGGTTCTTGGCCAAAGGTCTTGAGGTAGAGGACAATAGAAGTTTATTAAAATGGAACTTATATAGGAACACACTTCTCATGTAATGATTCAATGAAAACAGGACCACTCTAGTGATCCAGTGCTTCACAAAGAGCCAGTTGTATCTTTGAAAATAAATATTGGCAGGTGGCTTTTCAAAAGCCATGCCCCTATCAGAACTAGATTTGATGTGGTATATCACAATCCTCACCATCTCCACAATTGCTGAAAGGGACATGCAAATCTGATCATGCTAGCAAAACAATAGGATGTCACAGAACAATGAAGCCTAGCACCTTGAAATCAATAGAAAAATTGTGGTCGCCATTCCAACTCAAGTCTCCTCCCACTGGAGTGGTGAACACACAGATGATATAAAATAGTGCACCTGAAACCTATGTAATTTTATTAACCAATGTCATCCCACTAAATTCAATAAAAAAATATTCCTTGCTATAGTATAGTTTTTTTTAAAAAAAGAAAAAATGTGGATTTGTAAAAAGGTGAACACAGTACACACACATGCAAAAACAAAAACAGAAAAAGATGTTCAAAAGTAGAATATTCTAAGCCTTTTGTTTAGTCCTCAAGAAATTAAAAATGCCAATATCTGTTTAAATGTACATCTGGTAAAACTAATAACTTGAAAAATGACTCCATGATACACAGATTTTCTTCAAAGTTAGCATAATATAGAAAACCTGAAACATGATGTATGAACACCACAGCACCACATCAGTGTGATTAAACGTATTAGAATATAAATGTTTTCAGAAGGCTAGGATTTTAAAAAGAAACATCTAAGTGATTATTAGATCGTGCTATGTAGGTGCCTTCTTCTGTAGTATATCACTTTAAAAATCACATCACTCTAAGATATGCATTAGTGGGGAAAAAACGACTCTTGCACCTTAGTCTGCCCATCACTCAGTCGGACTTGACTGGGCAATCAGCCCTCTAAGTATTGAGGACTTCTTTTCTTAGGTTTGCTGCAGCAGATTTTTGCTCATCACTGACAATAGCAGCATAGAAAAGGAGAGAACAAAAGTAAAAAGGCAGCGGAGGGGAGGCAAATTCTTAGTTGCTATGAAAACAAAGAATTTTAGAGATGGGCATTTTTTCTCTAAAATGTTTATGTTCTGAATCACTTATTTTAAATAATCGCATATTTTAGCTACTAAATCTTCTGAACTTGAATTAACTAGGTCAGCCAAGGCAGTGCGAAGGCACCAGCGCCCTCACACTTGCACGAAGAGAGCCCTACTTTTATGATTTTTCTATTATCAGAAAATAAAAGAGATAACAAGTATTGATGGGAATGTAGAGAAAAGGGAACCTTCATGCACTGCTGGTGGAAATGTAAATCGGTGCAGCCGCTGGGGAAAAAAAGGTTCCCCCCAAATTAAAAACTGAACTACCATATGATCTAGCAATTCCATTTCAGGGTACGTATCTGAAGGAAATGAAATCAGGATCTCAAAGAGATATCTGCATCCCCATCTCAGGGATTACATTATCATTCCCAGTATGCAAGATATGGAAAAAGCTTGTGACCATCAACCAGTAAGTAAATAAAGAACATGGAAATATTACAATGAAATATTACTGCGCTTTAAAAAGAAGGAAATCACGCCATTTGTGACAACATGGATGAACCCGGAGGACATCGTGCTTAGAGAGCCCTGCTTGACCTCACTTTATTTCTGATAAGGAAGTGTGAGTAAAACATGGAATTGTGGTGTTGAGTTCTCATTTAACTCCAAGGAAACAAAATCAAATTGAGTTCTATTTATCTAGTTTCACATTATCTGGTATTTTCTTTTTAGAAACCATAACAACATTGTGTTCTTCTCAGGTGCCAGGCACTGTTCCAAGTACATCACAGGACTAACTCATTGCTTCCTCACCACAAGTTATTTAATAGGAAGCCCTTTCTGACGAAGAGGAAGTGGAGACACGGGGCTAGTAAGTAACTTGATGAAGAGCTCATAACTAACGAGTGCAAAGCTGGGTTTTAACATGTTCCTGCCCACTTTCTGACATGAAGTTAGAAAGAATCAAAGTTCTTGAACATCTATTCTACAATCCAACCCACGTTGCCACTGGCTGCATTTCCAATAAATCTCTCTACCCAGGCAATTTCATACTGTAAGTCTAAACTTCCTCCAGTATCACCTTCACCAAGTCCATCCAAAAGTCTACCCCTGACATGACTACTTATATTAACAGTATCTGCCCCCTAAAGATCAACTCCATGCTTGACTTTAAAAACATATATTTTTATTGATTTCAGAGAGGAAGGAGATGGAGAGAGAGAGAGAGAGAGAGAGAGAGAGAGAGAGAGAGAGAGAGAAGCATCAATGATGAGAGAGAATCATTGATTGGCTGCCTCCTGCATGCCTGACCTCCAAGCCATGCAGGCTGGGCAATGCTTGCTTTATTTTTTTTTTCCCAATGAGTTGACTAATACCTACAGATACGGTCTTCCCAGCTCCTTCATTCTTTTTCCATTTTCACAGGTAGCAGCAGCTAAGCCCCTCAGGGCCTCTCCTAGGTGGTCTTTCTGTTTGTACTGTGCCTGTTATAATCCATCAGATCCTGAAATACACAGCAACTTTTCGCTGGCGGCTCAATTACTCAAACACCCTGCAGCCATGGGGCCTGTCTTATCTGCCTGGCCTTGTTTTCTACTGCTCCCACGCAGTGCCCTGTTTGTAGCCCAACCTGGGTCACTGTGGACTGCCTGCAAACATTCCGTTATCTCCCACATTCATCCTGTTCCTTCAACCTTACCTGTCTCAAATACGCCCACCAGCATAAAGCTGCCCCTTGAACATCTGTGCGCATACACCCACATGCACAAATACATCCTTGCATAGTTAACTCCTTTTCCTCCTTGCCAAGATCAGCTCCATCAGCACTTCCTCTAGGGTACTTTCCTAACACCTCAGACAAAGTCAGATTCCTCCTTGAATGCTTTTATGGAAGCATATTTCATGGGTGTAACATTTTTTAAGCATCAAAATTATTTTTCTTTTATATGAGCAAAACTATTTTTTTTGGTATGACATAGAAAAACATTCAAGTTATTTGAAAATGCCGGGCAAACACTGGATGTTCAGTATGATCCAAATTTTTAAACAAATATATTGTGTAACCCAAGTTTCCTACTCCTCTTATCTCTTTTATTTTATTTTTTATTTAAATTAAAAATTTTCCATCACCATTTATCCCCTCTATGCCCTCCTCTATCTCCCCCAACCCCCTCCCAATCCTCCAATCACACACTGTTTCCATGAGTTTTCTCTCTCTCTCTCTCTCTCTCTCTCTCTCTCTCTCTCTCTTTTGCTTAATCTCACTCCACAACAACCTCCCCACCCCACCAGAGATGTCTGCCTGCTCTCTATCTATGAGTCTGTCTTTATTTTACTTAGTAGTGCTGATATGTCTCCTTGGGCAAGGGAAACAAAAGAAAAATAAATAAATGGGACTACATCAAACTAAAGAGATTTTGCACAGCAAAGGAAACCACCAAAAAAAATAAAAAAGAGAGCCCACTGAATGGGAGAACATATTGGCCAATAATACATCTTGATAAGGGGTTAATGTCCAAAATTTATAAATAACTTCTAAAAATCAACACAAACCCCCCCCACAAACAATTCAAGTAAAAAATGGGCAAAATATCTGAATAGAAACTTCTCCAAAGAGGACAAACAGATGGGCAATAAACATATGAAAAGATGCTCAATGTCACTAATCATCATAGAAATGTAAATTAAGACCACAGTGAGATATCTCAGCTGTCAGAATGACTATCATCAATAAATCAACAAACAACAAGTGTTGGTGAGGATGTAGAGAAAAGGGAACCCTTGTGCACTGAGAATGCAGATTGGTGCAGCCATTGTGGAAAGCAGTGTGGAGTTACCTCAAAAAATAAAAAATGGTACTGACTT